AGCTTATTACTTCATATTATGTAGTAAAATGTCAATGTATTCAGGCAATTATTGAAAGTTCCGTCATTTTGTAGTAGTTGGAGTTATTGACATTATATTCTAGGTTTGTGAAGTATTTGTCGGGAGCTTCAAAATGTTGTGTCACAAGACCCCCCTTTCTATTTCATTTTTCCCCAGATGGCGTCCAGTTGCCATATTGAAAGTTTCATCTGTCAATTTCACTCAAAATAAAGTATTCATGCATTGATTTCATTATCCCAAATTTCAAGTTTTTAAGTTGACCCATTCAAAAAATAAAAATTGGAGGGGGACATTAAACAACGGCACTGTATAGTTACTTTTTTCAAATTCGATCACTTCCTTTCTTTCTTTGGAAGATTTCCACATTTTTTTTATAACAGGATGGAGTAGTAGAAAGCCAAAAACTTTCTTTCCCAAAAATATAACGTTGTATCACATAGCTTGTCCGTTTTTACGAGTCTACTCCGAATTGTTATATATCTCAGTGAATACCTATTCAATTTAATATAAATCAGTGCACTTTTGCCAACATAACACCAGTTGATTTATTTAGTCAGCATAAAAATTTGGTGCTCGAGATATGGAGCTACAATAATACGTGACATTGAAAAGGACAAAATTTTTGAAACAACCAATAGTTCTTACCTCTCCAAGTCCAAAATTCGATGTTATAACCATTTGTGACGGATTTGAGGTAGATGGATTACAAGTAAACAAAACACCAGCACAATCTGCTGGTATCATTTTTTGTACCACAACTGCCATTTCTGTCATTATAGGTAAACCATGCTGCCTGTAAATATATTTCATAAATATTTCCATTCAAACCATCGTCACTAATAATAGCTGGTTTATCCAAAGTGAATAGTATATCTTTATCAATCATTAGGTTGTTTCAAAAGTTTCTATACATTGATACTGCTGATACTTCTCCAAATTTAAAGTGTTAGCCTCTTTTCAACTCATTACTTACTATACGATGTTAGTCTAAATGCAAAAAAATGTTTGTTAGGAAAAACTTGGATGTTGCTGACCCGTCAAAATTTGAATATTTTATTTATTAATATTATGGGGGCCCCTCTAATTTGGGGGCCCTGGGACAGTAGCCCCGCCCGCCCTACCCTGAAT